AATAATTATTTATTATATTACTGATGATTAGGATTCAGTTCTTGACAATTACATTCTAAATTAGAATTTTAAGGATATAATGAAAATACGCTACGCCCAAAAATACATTTTAGGATAAAAAAATGAGTGATTTTTTATGTGTTTAAAACTTCTTAAATTCATTTAATAAACATCGTATCCTCGTTGTTAATTGAATCCAGAATGTTGTGTGTGTCGTTTATATAATTATTCTTACTTGTCCACAGAAGATGCTGACTTAACCCAGCCATAAGTAGCTGCAGATCATTTCTACATAACCATTGAACTTCCACTTAATTCAGTCTCTAGAGGGATGTTTATATCATAATTTGACTTATATAAATGATTATTCTAAATCTTATGTTTCTATAAAAATATACTGTGCTTTAAAAATATGGATGATAGTATCTGCCGCTCTTTCAGGCACTTCAAAAGCAACAGTTTGTTTAGAAATAAATTATGCATTTAATGTCATAAAATATTTTAATAAAATTCAAATAAACATTAAAAGAAAATTCTCAGTTTTAGACAATTCGATTTAAACGAAGTAAAGTAGGTAAAAATTTAATCTTAGAAAAAATGTTACTCTTATTTTTTTTTAAAAAAAAGGAAGAAAGAGAAATTTAAAAAAAAATTGTTAAAAATTTGAATAATATCATCTATAATTTAAAAAAATAGATTTTCATATAGTATTAATAAATATTTATTACACCATCATTGTGGGAAAAAAATTTCATATAATTAATTCTTCGTAAAATTTGACTTGAAATTTAAGGTTAAAAATAGCTGTGGCAATTCAGTGTAAAAAAATCCATAAACCACATTTGGCGTTATTATCGCTCAAAAAAAAGATGCCAAATTTCAAAACGTGAAAATATGTAAATTCCTGTATATCTTAGAAAATTTTGATTAAAAAAGTCTAATTTTTTGCAGATATGCTTAAAAATACACCTACTTTATGATGATGGTAAAAATTTTATAGGTTATAATTCAAAATTTTTTTTCGAAAAATTTATAAAAATTATTTAAAAATAGAAATTTAAAAAATAAAACACAAAAAATGGGTAAATTTTATTTGGAATGAACCTAAATTTCGAAATGTGAGAGAAAAAATCAAAAAAAATTAATAAAAAAGAGATATTAATAAATATTTGCCACAAATTCAATTAACATTGAGGAGCTAAAATTTTGAGAGCTAATATTTAAAAACTACTCGTACGATTTTTACAAAACTTGGTATTCTGGCATAATTTGAACCGTAGAATCGAAATATGGAAAAATATTGGTATGTTATTTCAAAAAAAGTCCGATTTTGTGTCAAAATACCTATGTTAGAATAGTGCTATATATATAATGGTGCTATATATAGATCTAATATATAGACTATAATATATAAGTCGCGCTTTCGAGACATGAAGAACGCAGTTTGAATTTTGTCAATCGGCCCAGTAGAACGTGAGATATAGCATTGTCCCTTTTTTTTTTTTTTTTTTTTTGAGCAGTGTACATTACGTTATCTTTTTGCATATGTTGTATGTTTTACATCACATTATGGATTCAGACTGCTATGAACTTATTACTTACCATATGTCTTTCTCCAAGTCACAGCTCGACTACTTTCCTATGCCTCACATTACTCGTAGCTCCTGTTTTCCGAGCCTCGTTACAAAAATATTAACATAACTCTAATTAATGCATTAAGTCAAATTATCAGACTCAAAATTTCACTTTAAAACCATGCCTAATCCTTTACCAAACTCTTACTGAAACTTATATATTTTTTGAACTAGTTAGTTACTGTCACTCTTCTAAGATACTAAACTATTCTACAAGGGGTAGGGCCTTGGCCCAGGCACCCTGGTGTCGCAAACACCGTTCTACTGGAAGAATTCTTCTTGTTCGAAATTAAAATGATCTTTTAACGATCAAGTCGGTTGTGATTTTCACTCCAATCAGATCTACGCAACAGTTTTTCTCAGCCACGACCAAAAAGTGACTTGGTTTCATCTTCTCTAGTCAGCTCTCTGCTAAACTCTATCAACTTACCGCGACTGAGAACCTCTAAATTATCATATATACACTTTTTCGCAAAAACATCGAAACACCATGAAGGAAGCGGTTGTTTTTGATGAAATTGAATATGTGTGTAGCTCATACACAGATAATAAAATTATTAAAAAATCAAGGTCATAGTACCTGTTCACGGCTCACAATCACCCACTGAGTGTTCAAATTAGTAGTTGGTCGAACCACCCCTGGCGGCAATGCATGCTTGAAGTCATCGAGGCAAGAAGTGGCAGAGGTTCCTAATGCCATCCTGCGACACATTCTGCCAGGCATTCATCAGTTGTCGCTCCAGATCTGCGATATTTTGTGGTGCCCTAATCTGGCAGCCTACCATGCCCCAGACATGTTCAATTGGTGAAAGGTCTGATGACCTTGCTGGCCAAGGAAGAGTAGCAACCACACGGAGACAGTCCATAGATATGTGAGCAGTATGTGGCCTGGCATTATCTTGTTGGAAAATGGCCCCAGGATGGCGTGCCATGAAGGGTAATGCAACCGGCCACAGGATGGTATCAACATATCGTTGAGCTGTTAAAGATGTACGGAGGATGACTAAAGATAAGTCATAAGAAATAGTGCCCCACACCATCACACCAGGGGTTATGCCTGTATGCCTTTGTAAAACAAATGCTCATTGGGACCGATGGTCCCATTCTCTCCAGACACGAACATGGTGATCATCTGCTTCAAGAATGAAACGGGAGTCATCGTTGAACACTATACGATGCCAGTCTAATGGCAGCCATGATGATCGGCTGCAACACCATCCCAGACAACTCCGCCAATGATGTGGGGTCAAATGCATACGTCTTAAAGGCCTCTGTGAGTGTAACCCTGCCTTAGACAAGCGCCATGAGATGGTGGATGGTACCACGGGAAGTTTAGACGTGGGTTTAATGTATTGAATAGTCGACAATGATACCATTGCGGCAGTTCGGGCCTGGCGAACAATCATCCTATCTTGCCTCGCACTTGTGTTCCTTGGCCTTCCAGAACCTTCATTTCGTCGGCAATTTCCTTGTAGCAACCATTGCTGCCAACATCTTTGCACAACAGTGTCTGTACCCTGCAGGTGGCGACCTATTGTTCGGTGTGATCACCCAGCTTCACGCAACCCTACAATGCGATCACGTTCGAAGTCGTTTAGTTGTCTTAAGATCTTCGATATCGTCGTAATGGCATCTTTAGTTGCTTCTTCACGGAATTACAACGGCAGCAACAAAAGCTAAATTTTACGCCTCTGTTACTGGTTTTATAATTTGCGAATTGCATACTCGAAATGCGCGCTATGATTGCAATTCCTGTTCATTTACTTTGAAACTTTGATCATTTGCATGTTCGATTAAGATGCTTTTGCAAACCAAATTTCGACACGATTACAAAAGTTCTTGGTGCTTCGGATTTTTTGGTTTGTTTGTTTTTTGGCAAAAGAGCGTTTTAATGCTTTAAAGAAATTTGTGGCTGGCTGCCAAGAGCCATGCTTTAATTTTCAAAAAATAATATTTATTTGTTTACACAACAAGGGAACAGAGATTGTGTAGGAATTTAAGGTTTACATTTGAAGTTTCAGTTTTAGAGGAATAAGACAATTTTTCAATATACTTTTACACAAATTCTAATAGAATATTGTTACATCATTAATCAATTTAATAAATTTAATTAACCGTTAAAATTGTTAAATGTGAAAATGATCAAGCAATCATAATGAAACTTACAAAACAGTCGGAGGAAAACATCTGAAACTCACAAGTTTATTTGATAACCACATAAATACTTGATAGAGTCAAAAGTCGTTAATCCTGAGGCCCATAATCCGGAATGCTCAAAACTACAAACTTTCTGCGCATGCGTCAACGCATAATGCGTTCAAGCATGCGCGTAATACCTTTACGCACGCGCATATGCGTGTACGCATGCGCGCTTAATGTATAACGGACGGTATAAGCTAAGCTAAAATTATCTAATTATCTATTTCAGTTAATGTTGCAGATTGCATTGTTCTTTAATCTTCGAATTGGATCGGCTTTTATTTTTTTGCAGACTGTTAGAGCATTTTATAAAAGTAAGCTCGAACTTTCGATTATGTCAAAAAGAGTTTCCCGATTCTGGAGCTGCCAAAGATACAAAGCGAAAGCATGTTTCGATGTCCATCAAACATAAAGTGGAATTGCTGCAAAAAATGGATAAAGGCATATCCTTTGTTCCTCTAACCATTCCGAAATCTGTTTATCAATTTCACGCTGCTCTGCGGGAAAGGGGAACGTCGCGGCAAGCAATGAACAGGAAGTTGATGTCAGCACTATCCTTATCTTCAGGGCAGATGTTTTTATTTTATTCGGCTTATAGTTCATCACTAAATGTAGTATTTCATATCGATGTACTCTGATATGATTTAAATCAAATTCCTCGTCATTATAAATATCACGAATACACATCAAATAGTTTTCTGGTTGCAATTTTCTAATTTCGACTATGCGTAATGTATGCTTTACGCATGCGCGCGTTGAAAGAAATGTTTAATAAAGTAAACAAATAAATATTAAGCTTTTTTTTGTAAATTTTGATACCCTTTAGATCATAATTGTTCTTTATTTCATAAATTACGGTTTCATATTTTTAATTTTATAATTTCTGCATACCATCTTACCAGATTTAAGCTGATGATCTATAATCCGGAATCGCCGAATTACGACGAGTCCGGATTAAAGACTTTTGACTGTATTTGTAAAATCTAAGGAAATACAAATGGAACACGAGATCTGAAACTGAAACAGTAATCAGTGTTTTGCATTGTCGCATACAGATTTATTTTTGAATAACGAATTTTAAATAACAAAACCATATTTGTGTGGCATAGAGGAAAATATATAGGAAGAAGTTTAATTTATGCGCAATAATTATACAAATACAACAAATGTGCAAATTTATCTTTAATTTAAAATATATACAGCCTATTATTACCAGCATGGTGATAATACATTTAATTTTTATTTAAAAATTAATAATAAACATAAAAAATTTATAGAAACAGATAAGTTTCAAAATATTTTCTCTGTATACATAACTATTATTATTACATTTCTGCAACATTTCTTATTCCTTCAGGGGAATAACTTTTAGCATCTCAAAACTTGAGATAAGTTTATGTGAGGTACAAACATTACCAGGAAACTCAAGTACTGGAATGTAAGAACTTGAATTATCAGTGATAGACAAATCAGGTGAACCTAAATAAAATACAAAGGGAAATAAAGGAAGAACTAGTGATAAAACGCTGAACAAATAGGTACAGTTTCAGTACATGAGTAAAAGAAATGCCAAAATAAATTTTACATAAATGATAAAGTGTAATGCAAGCTTGAAGAAATAATTGTATGGATTAAATAAATTTTCTTAAATAAATCTGTTATATAAGGTTTGACTTGAGTATCACACATTAAAATAAGAACTTGAATTACTTTACAAATTAAATAAACAAAAGTCCTATTTATGAAAATTTAAGTTACATATAAAACTGCCACTAATAATAATAAATTACAAGTTATTCAATATTTGCTAGTACATCTTCAAGCAAGTAAGTGCACATAAAAAGCATTTATTACTGTTATAAATTGCATCCATTTCAGATCGTATCAATATAAATGCAATGAAATTCAATTTATTGACATTCAAAACTAATTCTGGACAAATTGTTATTTTTAAAAATAAAGACTAGTAGATTCTATGCTGAAAAATAATTTATAACAATTTAATAACTGAAAAAAGAAAAAAAATGATGCAAAAAGAAATGCTTACTTTCTTTAAAGAGAAAATTTTAAATATAACAATAATTACCAAAAAAATAGTTTAACGTCAACCAAACCTCAGTACTTAAATCCTTTTTTAGATTTTTCTCAAATTTTATTTTGATCTCTTTATGACATACAGCTTCAGTTCATAAGAGATCTAATTTCAAGGCTGCTCCAATATTTAAGGAATTTTAGGAAAATATTCTGCACTTCCTAAGTAACTAATATTAGAATCATTAATGCAGTCCAAAAATTAATAAATCCAATGTAAAATTTTAAAACTGAAAATGCTGTTCAACTACAGACATCCCATTTCTTACGTTTTGTGTAAAGAGAAACATAAGATCCCATTTCTTACGTTTTGTGCTCATAACATATCATCTTATGAGCTTTCCCATTTCAATTGAATATCAAACTGTGGATGAATTTTTCTTATTTTTAATTTTTTTTTTTTTTTTTTTTTCTATACAGGCACGGCCAAACTGCGGCTTCACGACACGTTAACTGCGGCTCGCGATCTTGTCACTCTTTGCCCCTTAAATGCGACTTGCTCTCAACAAACATTAGCTTAACTTCAGATATATAATTGCATTTTGAAATAGAAATCGCGAAATGACCCTTTCTTTATTAGTTAGTAATTTGCTTTCTTGAATTATATTATGTACGTAACAATTTAATCGATTTTAAGCTATCCGCCACAAGTTTATCGTCAGAATAACAAAAACTGCAAACAGTTCTATTTCTGCCAATTATGAGTGTTGTCACAGTCATGTTACTTTTACAACAGGTATTGGCCATCGATATAGCACAAAATACGCAGTACGAGGGCAATTTTAAAAGTAATGCTCTCTATTTTTCCCCCTTAAGTTAATTTCATTTCAAATAGTCAGTGCTTACATTCTTTCTGTGTAAATTCCTTGATTCACAAGGAAAGTCGTGATCCATTGTCTTGGAAAGTTATGCTATTCCTCCTAGTGCACTAGATTTACTCAGTCTTTGAATAGCTAAGGTAAATAAATAAATAAATAAATTAAATAAATTAAAAAAAAAAAAAAAAACATCTTTCATGCAGGAAAATTGCTGTCCATGTAGGAGCTCTTGTGTCCTTGAAAGTTTAGTACCCGTCCTTAAGTGTGTTAGGTCGTTTTTATGCAATTTTCTTCACATTTCTTGAAACCACCAAACGAAAGATTTATAAACTTTCGTTGGAAAAATAGAGGAAAACTCATTAGAGAAGCTGAATTTGAAATGCATCTTCTGTAATGCCATTCAAAATGGCAGCATCAGTGAGATTGAACACGCAAAAACTCTATTAGTAATCGCTGTTTAGGATATTTTCGAATCAAAATTGCTTGAAAAGCCCCTCACAGTCATAGTGTCGAAAAGCACGTGAAACAGTTTAAAGGCAGGAGTTGCTTGTGCAAGAAAAAGCACAAACGTCCTAACACTTTTCCGGCCCAACAACTAAGCAGAAGTCTATAACCGGAATGGTGGAAAACATTTCTGTCATTTAGCCTTGAAGCCTCAGTTAGTCCAAGCATTATGCCAAGAGACAAGTAAGCTAAATGATGGCGTGTTTTGTAGAAGTTTCTGCAATTCAAGTCTTACAAATCTGAAGAAGCGCGGGCACTAAAAATTACCGAAAAGCTAAATGGACGAAATTTAGCGTAGATGATTTCGTGGACAGCTCGCGTTCTGTGATGAAGCCATGTTTCATTTATACGGCCAAAGGGAACAGGTATAATTTCATATTTGAATCACGGAAAATACAGAGGAAACGTATAAGTAATTTTCCGAAGGTAAACGTTTCATGCGACCCTTTTTTTCTTCGCACAACTTTTCAATTTACTTCTTAGGGATAATTTTTTTTTCCCCAATGGCAGATTGTGAACAATTACAAATATAACCTAGTCCATTAATTTATACAAGGCCGGATGTGGTGGTCTCTTTATTATGGAGGCACCTAATAAGTGGACCACCATCGCCTTTCCCATGCAGGGGCACGGACACTTACAACCATGCATTCTCCGAGATTCGAACCCAGGCCCTTCGGCATCGCAGTCAGCTTCCCTGAGCAACATACCGACTGGGTAGCTTCTTAGGTATACTTGAAAGAGTAAATTTTTTTATGCCTATTTCTCAACAGGACTTAAGCAAGAAAAGTAGCTGTCAGGCGGGGCGGTTGGCTCTCTTGATCAAGGCATATTATCGCCTGTGGAGATTTTTATGTTTATTAATAGGTTATCTTATTATTTTGCCTTTATTTTCATTTCTATTCTAGCCGATTTGCAGTGGTTTCCCCATTAGTTCAAGTATTAAGCACAGATTAGGCGTTATTCTCTGACTAGAACTCGGGAACTAAACGATCTGGCGTTATTCTCTGGCTAGAACTCGGGAACTAAACGATCGTGTAGGCGTCTGACATGTTACAAAGGTCTTTCACATCGAATATTTGCGCATCTCCGTCAAAATTCGAGTAGCTTAACTTTCATTTGACATCTCTATTTGGTAAATAAATTCATTACAGTAGTTAAAAGTATCTTTTCTTTCTGTATCATTAATTTTGATTTGGCTGTGTTTGAAAACCAGCTCAAGATTCAAAGAAGAGTTTCTCTGCTGTGTACGTTGTTTTGTATCACTTCTTTTAATTTTTCTAAACTGTTATGTAGAACTCCAAATTTAAGAAAAAATATTCAGTTCCCCCACCCCAAATGAGTTATTCTTCACTCAAATCAAAAACTTTTTACAATTTGCATTTCTAAAGACCAATTCTTTCCACTTAAATTTCCGTCTACTGAAACCAAACAACAGTTAAGGATGAAGAGGAATACAGGAAACCAAAAGAAAATGCTTTTTACCTGAAAGAATAATGCTCAAATGCATTGTATAATAAGTAGTTTCAAATTTATATTTTTTTGGAATTTATATTTCTCAACTCAAAGCAGGCAAAGTAAAGTTTCACATTTTTATGAAACTGTAGAGACATTAGGAATTTTTTGGAAGCAGGAAAGATGAAAAACGAGCAGCCGCCTTCGCCGGGAATCGAACCACGGACCTCTGGAATATGCGCTCCGCATGCAGACCACCACACCACGAATTCACGCTAAGAAGGCGGGAGAAATATTTTATATACTCCCCCTTTTAAAGGGCGATTGGGGTTTTTAGAGGACCCATTTGCCCAAAAAATCCTGGGTGTGGAGAATCATCATCCATCACCCTTTTCAGTTCGGGCGACACTATAGAGACATTAGGTATTTTTTGGGGAGGAAGCAGGAGAAATGAAAAATGAGCAACGCCTTCGCTGGGAATCGAACCAAGGATCTCTGCAATACGCATCCAGCATGCAGACCACTACACCACGAAGACATGCGAAGAAGGTGGAAAAAATACCTTATAAAACCATAGTAATTATATAAAAATGCGAAATTCTCGTTAATTTACTTTAAACATTTCATTATTTTTTTAAACAACATAAATATGGATTTGCGACTCTCGGAAAATCCAGCTGCGGCTCTCGAGCCTTCCCGAAATCTACCATGCGGCTCTCATCGTAGTGAAGTTTGACCACCCTTGTTCTATAATAATAGGCAAAGCACGAATCTAGCTTTTGTGACGACAAAAGAATACATAAACTATATTTTTAAGTGTAAATGTTTAGCAAAGTAAATCCACCTAACATGAATTAACTCAGTTCTATGGAAAAAGAAAATAAAAAAACTCATTGTCTGAATGAATTAAAATTATTATGCACTGCTTTTAAAATTGCTGCATTATGATTTAAAATTACTATGCCATTACATATCTGAATGATTTAAACCACATTGAATTGATAGCAATATATAAAATAAAGCAGTATTTCTTAACATCAAATTTTTCAGCATGTAGCTATTTAAGAAACAAGTCTGACAATAAAATTTTAATACACACCTGCAGGCAAAGCTTTTTTGGATTCCATCCTTTCATCTGTTTTTTCCCCAGAATAAGATTTAGCAATCGTCGTTTGTTTTTTGTTCTGAAAAGCCTCATCTTGAATCTTTAAAGCTTTCGGAATTCTATTGCATGAACTGCCATTATCTTCCACTGCAGATGTAAAATTCTTCAATGCACTATCAGAACTTTTCATTTTTGGTTCATTATCTGTTAACTTAGACTGGAAAAATGTAGAGTAATCATTAGTATTGTGAGATGCATTTCCAATACCTTGTACCCATTTACAAGATTTGTTGCAAGCACTAACATCTGCAGCACATTCATCATTTAAAAACTGGTTGAAAAGGTTTACAGAAGATGATGTTTTATAGTCACAAGTATCTATATTGAAACTCTGCAGAAAATTATTCGATAAACGTGTTTGGTTTTCTTTTTCATTTTTATTAGATACATCTGAAGTAAAATGGTCCTTCTCTAAGAGTCCATTTAAATACTCATTAGATAAATTATACTGATCATGAAAATTATGATGTGATTTAATACCAGAACACTCTTTAGATGAATTCTGAATTAAATTTTCCCCATACAATTTTGGTTCCAATTTAAATTCTGAATTGCCAAATACACAAGCATACTTATCTGTCTCGTTTCTGAAAGATTTTACATCAAGCACGTTTGAAGATCCTTCAATAATTTTATCTCTAACACTTTCTGGGCTTCTATTCAAAAGGTCAAACAGAGGAAATCCATTCAATTTATCTTTCTGTGTAGATTTGTAGGATCTATTTCTATGAGTGGATTTCACACTTCTACAAAACTCTTGGTCATTTGAAAAATTACTAGCTACCATATTCTTTTTTTGCCAAAGAGGATAGGAGTTTGAATTTTCATAGACCTTTTTACATTTTCTAGTGTTGCTAAAGTTTGAAACAGAGTTTCCACTGTTTTTATGTTTCATAGAATTATCAAAACATTCAGTATCACTTGCCTCCTTAGATATTTTTGCATTTTTATGATCTAAAATTTTCTTTTCATGAGAAGAATATTTAGCAGATTCACAGAATATATTAGTATTATTATGCTCGTTTATTTTTCTAATTTTATTTAAATAATATAAATGTTCCGCACTTTGCAAACTAATATCATCAAGAAAATCTGTTTCAGAATTTGTTTTATCAACGTATCTCTGCCTTTTCTTAGAAACGCAAAATGAATTTACCTCAGAATTCAATTCTTCTCTAATATGACTTTTCTCTTTCAGGGCACTTGAATATGTATGATGAATTGAGGCAGGGTTAGGAGTTACAGTTTCTTTCCTTCTAAGAAAAGAATTTTGAGAACATCTATCTGTTCTCACAAACTTCTTTGAAGTGTCTTCAGCAAAATTAAGTATAGAGCAAGTGTTGGTATCATTATGAAGTTTAGACTGTACTGAATTTAAATTTGGTTTTCTAAATTTTTCACACATCTGAGAAAATTTTTCATGAACCTGCGGGAAAAATATTAAGAAAATCTTTTACTTCTAAAAGTGTGCATAAGAATTAAGACAAAAGCGATAAAAAATATTTTATCAATAAAAATATTTTTATTTTATCAATTAAATTTATAATAAAAAATAAAAGTAATTTCAGATTTACAATATTAGACTTCAATACATACCACTTTTTTTAAGTTTTTCCCTTTGTGAGATGGCTTATTCTTAACAGCTTTTGAACCAATAATTCTTTAAGAAAAAGGACTATATCAATTTTAAATACTACAACAATATTTATTTATAATTTGCCTCTTAAATATCAATATAAAATTAAATACCTATGTAATATACTTGTGCAATTCTACTCTAAAATGTTATTATTAATCAAACACAGACAAACATTTTCTTATTTCTCCAAAAATATCAAATCAAATGGCTAATTCAAGATTCAAACAACATGAAATTCATATTTATATGATATGCCTCTCTATATATAATTTGAAAACAGTTTTCAATCAATATCTGAGCAACTTCATACCTTAAGAAATATATTTTTGACATGTTTGTTTTCTTTCTGATGTTAGAAAACCAAGAACAACTTAAAAACCAAAATTAATTCAAAATTTTCATATGCTAAAACACAGTAATGCATTGAATTTTTTAATACTTGATACCAACTGCTATCGTTTTGACTAAGCAAATAACATGTCCTTGCAAAATACAAAATACTACCACTTCATTTGAAAGAAATTTTGTAGCAAGTCTCACATAAAACAATTAATTGAAAAAAAACATAGCCAGATCTTGAATTATTAAGTCCTTTTTATTTACAAAGTCCCCATATAACATAATTAAAAATAGAGAGATCTACCTACTTCTATTTTTACAAATGTAAGAAATTCATTTGTAGCAGAATGCTCTTTGCCATAATAAGTACACTGAGATCAAAAGATTATTTGCTACATGAGATGATCATACGCTTAAATTACCAGTGAGATCACTTAAGTAAAATTAGACAAAAGTGTTGAAAAGAGAAAAGTTAGTACAATTTTGAGCTTTACTTGTTTTAGAAACATGTTACATATTTTTTCCTGCTTACAAATCTCTACTAGTGCGAAAATTAAATTTTATACTGCAGTGCATAAGAACAGTTCAAATTTTCTATGAGTCCATTATTATGTTACTAAAACCACTAGTTATTGGGAATTTTATTTACGTTCGATCCCATGTGGTGAAATAAGCCCATAAGTATTGTTTTTACATGTATAATGTAAATACAAAATAAATCCAGAAAATAATCTTTAAATGCAATTTTCAAGCACTGTGCCTCGTGTGTTACATAACTAACTGCCCATTCATTTATTTTTTTGAAAAGCATTTATTTTAACAGTTTCTTACTGATGAAGAGAAACTCAAAACTACTGTAGAAATTTTGACTCCTATGAATTTAAATAACTAAATGTTGCCACAATTTCTAAGTAATTCTTGTAGAATGTCTTACAAAAATTTAACTATTTTTATAAATATTTATTATTATTTACATTTTAATTATAAAAACTTCATCAAGGGCCCACCAGCGGCCGAGCGGTAAAGACGCTGAACACTGGTAGTTCGGTCTGAGGTTCGAATCCCGCGAACGGGCTGGCTGCATGGGCGTTTTCGTGGTCTTCCCCATGTGTAACGTGTATACGAGCCAGTTTCCCTTAGAAAGTCCTCCACGAAAGGCATCCCTCCCTTTAGGCAGATAGCCCTCGTGTGCTTTGCCATAATTAAATACACCACACCACCACCACCACAAAAACTTCATCAAAGAATTTTCTTAATTGAATTTTAAGATTGAACTAAAGATAATACTATATTTTATGATTATAACAACTTTAAGATATTGATAGTACTATTAATAGTTTAAGTATTGATAGTACTTTGATGACATCATGTTAACATTCCTCAAGTTTGCCAATGATGCATCAAATTTTGATTAAACATTTCCTAAAATGCTGCAAAATCTCATTTAACTGGCCAGATTATATTAAACAAATTAAAAATAGTACAAAAGTTATCAAAAATACTGAAAATTTCAAAGTATGCTGCAGAATTTCCTAATCTGGACAATTCTATTATTTATTGGGTATTTATATAAAAATACTATATCATTACCAACACGGCTGTGGAGTCGGTAGGGAAAATGACCGACTCTGACTCCTGGAATTTTAAAGACTCCGACTCCCTCATATATATATATACACAATATACATGGATTACAGCTTATTTTTTAATATAAAAGAAGTAATAGATGCTACAGAAAAAAAAAAATTGATGGCATAGCAAATTATTTATATTAGCATTTATTATGAAATGGAAAAACTGGCATTACTTATTTCTAAGAAATAGTATAGCTTAGGCAAGATTTTCTTTGTTGGAGGGCCATAGATCCGATTTGATAAACTTCAGAGCTGAGAAGAGTCTTTCCTCACTAACTTGCGTAAAGAGGGAAGAGTTATTATTGTTAGGGCTACTTCTTTTCACTTTTCAGGATAGATTTTTACAAGTTCTAAAAGAGGTGTCTTGCAAGCGCAATTATATTTCTCTATTTCTTCAAAGGCCCTGTAGAAATCTTGTTTATATTTTTCATTTTAATATCTAAAGTCTTTTGATTCTTTATTTTCATTCGCTTGGCCTTAGCCTTTTCAATATTATCTAAAAATATTTCTCAAAATCTAATTCGTCACTGGAAGAGGATGATAGAGACTCAAATGCAATGTCTGCAGTTTGACTGCCCTGATTCGAATTCTCTAATTATTCTGAGAATAATTTCATTCTTAATGAAAGTTCACAGGTCACGTCCTTTACCTTTTTAATTTTTTCGTCATCCAAGAAAATTCAGTGTTTCGCATCTACATATATTGAACCAAGCAAGATCTCATTAAGTCTTCTCATTGTCTAGCAAACTGTCTCTTTTCTTCATTGAAGAAATGATTCCTTCTACAATAAGCCCTCCATTTCAGAAAAAACAAACATCACATTCTTCCATTCTTGCCTCCTGTCAGTTCTTCAGATTGCAGCTTTTTTGTGGCTTATACGGTGTAGAAAGAAGAGTTTCCAATTCTGCAAGATCATTCCACAGTTTTTCTGTTAGTGAAATATTAAGGTTATCTACATCTTCTAAAAAAGGTCCTAATTCTAACAACCTTTTTATCATCAAATATGTACTTCCTTACTGCGTACTTGATCAATAATTGCTCCTTTTCCTGCTTGCTTCCTAAAACTGGCATCAATTTGGGGAGTTCCTGCTGCTACTGCTGCTTACCTAAATTTACCAGTGAAATTTGTAATTAAATGAATCAGTTTAATCACTGGCAAATATAACATCCATCCTCTTGCCTATGATTTATTTATTAATATTTCAATAAAATAGAAAATAGCTATTTATTAATGCATATAGTCCATAAATAAAAATAATAACTCATCTTGTCATTAATTTTTTTTCAATTCATTTTAATTTCATTTCAAATTCAAACTGTCCAACAAAAACTGGAGTTGAAGTCGACCTGTTTTTAGCGACTCCAGCTTCGACTCCTTTTACCCCAAAATCTGCCAGACTCCGACTCCACAGTCCTGATTACCACTAAAAACAGGTAACTTACACAAAATTGCTTAAGGCAGATTTACTTTGAAAATTCTTGCCCTGTTCTATCATTTTCTGAAGAAGTTGCTCTCATAGAAACTTCTTTTTTCAGACTTCTAGAAGGTGAGAAGCATTTCTTAGAACATGATTAAGGAATGATATTAAATATCACTAACATATTTGTAAATTCAACAACCTAGCCCAAAACTCTATGAAACCAAGCATGTTAACTTAATGAGCTTTCACTAAAAACAACATGAAGAAATTCACAACATAATACAATCCAAATTCTCAAGAGTTTCCAGCACTTTTCTTAATCAGTTTGCAAATTGAGAATCAGTTTGCAAATTGAGTTTGCTAACTTCAGAATCTTTTTAACTCCCTCCTCCCTTACTTAAATTGGTAAGAAATATCAGGCTCAATATTTCTTGCATTAGTATTCTAGTTAAATTAAAAAGAATCCCAGAAAGCTGCAGACCCTTACATAGACTACTTTTCTTCGTGTGGCTCAGTTCAGATACTATAAAGTGCAATACTTAATAAATGGCAAATTACAAAAATCAAATTAAATTATTTTTAATATGATATAAATTATTTTTAACAACAGTTTTTCATTGATTTTTTATAAGCATTCTAATCTTTGAGTGCTTCAAAGGAAAAAAAAAAAAAAAAAAAAAAATCTCCCATTATAAATTCATTATGTAATAAATTTGTATGTGTACACACTAACTTAATGTGTGCATGCATTAAAATGTACACTGCTGGCTACTAATATTTTTACATCATGAAGGCAGCAAGCAACAAACATGAAACTTGCATACAAGTACTACATGCTGGAATGATTAGCATTCTAGTACATACACTCAAAGTAGGTATGAGTAACATCATCCAAATTCGTATAAATGGGTATATTACACAGAGTGTTTCTCATTTGGAAACTGCATTTCAACACCAGTTGTTTGTGAAAAGGTCGTGTTATGCCACGTGTTAGGAGGAGAAACTCGTACCAACACGTGTCAGAATTCATCGCGACAAGATCATGGGTGTTATGTAGAAAAATGTCAAGTTATCGACATAAAAAGTAATAAACGTAATTGTAACTATTTAGGAAAACTGGAATTATTCCAATATATTTTGTTTCTTTACTCTTTGGGTTAATAGTTTTATTTATTATTTGTTCACTAAATCTTTGATTTGAAAACCAGCGCTTCAATGCTAATTTTTGCTTGCTAAATTTAATCGGAAAACTTGTGAAATAAGGGAATAATTTGTATGTGAAAATTAGGAGGGCTATTTGTTGTTATAAGCGAAATTTTGTTGTGTCACTCTACTCTCAAAGTACGGGAAGTATATTTCACCAGTGAACATCAGCATAGCCACTGAGGGAGGGGTTTCGAAAATAGACCAATGAGCTTCTATCGCTCTTGTGACGCTAAATCTTCATGCATGTGAGCATAAGTTTAAGTTTTAATTTGCATTTGTTTCGCAGTTATAAATGTATGGCATAATAGTAGAAAATCTCGTAGTTCTTTCGTTTTTACGAGTTTAATTAATCGCTGACATTTCATTTTTGTGATTTTTATCAAATATTAATATTTGGATTGATGTTTACGGCATATTATCG